TCTAAATGGTTCTAATTTTATTTAGGGGAGTTTACGTCAGCGTAATACGGTAGTAAAATGTTTTTAGGGGAGTTTACATTAGCGTAATACGGTAGCAAAATGATTTTAGGGGAGTTTACTATTAGGGGAATTTACTATTTAATTTTTTAGGGGAGTTTACATTTGCCCTCTACAATTACTTTTCCATCAATTATCAAAGTATTAACAAGTTCAGATTAAGTAGGCACCTACTGCCTAATATCTATACTGGCTCCTAAGTCCTAAGTGTCAGTTTTTCAAAACTTTATGGACCAGTACCCACCCACCAATTGTAGGTGGTGCAAATACACCACCTTAAGTACGTGTTCAGTCATAAATATATACAACAACTAGATAGCCGTCTATAATAAAGACTATAAAGCACAGGTTAAAGGGGGGGGGGGCTCAGGGAGAACTCAGTCCCTCTACCTCTGACGGCCGTTAAAAAATAGGATTTTATACATTAGACATTATAGATAAAATTATATATGGAACGATTAAAACTATTTGTCATTAGTCCCCTCTGGAATTTTTTCCCACTTTAACCCCAGCTATAAAGATTTATACATCAGTTGAAATCGGCCGCCATTTATAAATTAGGCAATATGTTTACATTTAATTTACATTTATTCATATGCATAATATATACTGTGATAATATTATTTTGTAAACATTTCCTGCTTTGACTTTCCGACTTCGATGGTAAGAAGGAGACGGCTATATAGTTGTTGTATATATTTATGACTATGAGTTATGACTATACTATATTATATAATATATACGTCTATATCTACTATAGGTATAGTTTACTTGAAACCATGCCGATAATATAATATCTATGAGTTTAACTGTACTGTACTGTACTGTACTATATATTATAGTAGGTATAGTACCTACTGTACTATACTATATTATAGTATAATGTAAAGTGATTACATATATACATAAATAGATGATAATTAATATGTATTACCAATCTTTTTTTTTTTTATTGAACAAAATTTTATATTTACAATCTGTATTTATACGTTACACAATAAGTAAATTGGGTGAGGGTTTATTGTCGTGAAGTGGAAGTCGCCCATTGACGGGAACCCGTGTTGTATTAGGTATCTATGGATATTGGATATTATGTTACCATCAATATTATTATGTAAATTAGGTAATAACGAAAATGCCTAACCAATATCATAAGTTCCTAACAATAGCAGGTAGTCGATATCGCCAATGCCTAATAAGCATTAACTGACAACATAGGCAAGGTTGTAAAATTCAAATATTTTGACATTTTGTTAACACATTTAAAACTATGACTAGAAAATTACCTTAATGTCTAATACTGATAGACAATGATGATAATAATAATTTTGTTTAGCGAAATATTTAAATTGGGTCAGAAATGTAATAATACATATAGGTACTTAAGGTAAATTATTTTTAATATTACATAAATAAAGTAAATAAATTGAATAATTTAATTTCACAATTTGATGTACTGGGACACTTTGAAGGTAGGTACTATAGGTTAGGTACAATACTACAATACCTAGGTTATAGTAATATAGTTTAATAGGTAGATACTAAATTCATGTTATCTAATGTGCTAGTACTGCTAGTAGGTATATGTGTGTAGGTACAAATATTTTAATTAGATTTATGATTAATATAGTTGTTAATTAATTATTATAAAAAATAAAGTATACCTATTATATAGATGGCATGTTATATTGTTATGTATCCGATATCTATACGGCTATCGTTTACTTAAAATGTAGGTACCTACCTAATGTACGACCATCTACTTATAATATTAGAGCCGGAGAGTATAACCCAGAGGCGTGTTGAATAGTAATTTTTTGAGGCGATTGCCTCAGGGAAAATTTGGGTAGGTGAGTGGGTGTGTTAGAATGGATGTACAACTTATACCTAAAAAAACTTAATAATATTTAATATTTTGAATAATAAAAAAAAATCATGAAAAAACTATTGGTGGTGGGGAGGGGATCAAATTGTATAGTTTGCCTCATTTCTACTTGTCAGTTCGGCACGCCACTGGTACGTTATTGTTAGTAGGTACCTACCTATTATTATTTATTGATCAATTGACTTTACAACGCAAGATCGTTTCTAATTAAAATGTACAAATACATCTTTTAAACTCTTACATACACAGCTGTTAACAACTTATAATAAGTACCTAAAATTAAAGTTCATCCAACAACTAGTTTGCAATAGATTTTCGATTTTTGATTAGAAATCATTTAATATTAATTTTATCGATAATGTCTGAAAAATCCCGGAGTTATCGTCATTACCTATGAAATATTTCTAAATGCATCATTGCCTGAAAATAATGGACATTAGCGGTTAATTTGGCACTACCACACTCGACTACTGTTCATGGGTACTATATTTAGCTATTCAAAAGCACCTGAAAAACAAAAAAAAAAAACAAGAAAGTAAGAAAAACAGAAATTTTTACGCAAAATCGATTTTGACCAAATCTATTTTGGTTTTTGTTCTAACTCTGTATCGTAGATACATGTTTTCACAGAAAGTTTATATTATCATTTTCCATACACCTTAACATTTTCAAAATATTTTGTCTCATTATGAGCTATTTATAGGCATATAAAATGTTCCATTATTGTTAATATTATTGTGTTATTATTTAATAAATATAGTATCCTTGGCTGATAAATCGTCTTCGCTCAGAATCGTTTTTCGTGTACAATGATATTATATCATTGTTTTTAAATCTAATACCATCCATTACACTCATTACAGTAACCAGTGACTCACTTGTAACCTACTGTACAGCCGGTGATACCCGATTGAGCACGGTCGTTATCGGCCGACCTTTTAGACGACCCGATTGAGCACAATAAAAAAAAAAAATATTGTGTACAACGTTGTCAGATTTTTACTAGTACCTACGTATGTTGTGTAGATATTACCAATAGGAAATTACGAACCTATTAGTCGAAAACGTTTTTGCAATCGATCGATGGGTAGGTATACCCACGGAAGTTGAAAATAACTGGGATAGATAGGAAACCAGAATTTTATCTACAAAGATTGCACTAAATTGTGATTAACTGTTATTGTATGTACCTATGCTGTAAATAAGACTTGGTCACAGTCAGTCTATGGTTCTGTTGCCTCGTGCTCGTAGTGCGGTAGTGTGCAAATTTTACGATGGAAAATAATGAAATAAAAATTATTTTATCCGAGAGAGGTAAAAAGTTGGCAAATGTTGGAGCTTATCAGGAGTACTCTGAATTAAAAAATGTTGATAACCTACTTAAATACTTATTTAAAATTGTAAATAAGTATTTAGGAAAAAAAATTTAAACTTTTATTTAGATATTCATTATTGAATTTCATTTCATTTTAGATATTCATTATTGATTTATTCATTTTGATTGGTATTTTTTCAACATTTTTTTATATTATATATTTTTATATTCAGTATTTAGCGGAATAAATTGTAATTGTAATATAATATAATAAACTAATTGACGTACATAATATGTAATAATATGTGATTAAAATCCAATAAAAGATTTTTATTTATAAACATTTACATTCAAATGTATCTTATTTTAAAAAAATAATATTCTACGATACACAATGGCAACGTCGCACCTATTTTCGTGCTCAATCGTGTTGTTTTTGGGGTTTTTTTGGGTTTCTATTGTTTGATTCCAACCATGCTCAATCGGGTTGTGAAAAAGGTCAATCGTGCTCAGTCGGGTTCCAGCCTGTACAGCAGAGTGACACCCACTTACCCGCTTTTTTATATTTTCTAATACGAGAATAAAATTTAAAAAAATACAACAATGCAGCTCAATAATAGTATATTCTACTTTTTATTAATAATAGTATACAGTATACACTCGATCTGTAATCAGACGTACACTGTAGAACTATAATGAGTCTAGATTCTAGACCAGGGTTTCTCAACCTGTGACACGCAAAAAAATCTCCATTTATAAAAAAAAAACTAACTGTATTTTGATATTAATATAAACAATAATTGTACATATTTCGTTTTTTTATTTTGTGTTATACATATTAAAATGCTAATATTGACATAATTTTGTAATTCTTAATAAAATATAACTTAAAAATAACTTAAGTATACATTTACGATAAGAAAAACTAAAAGGTTATTCATTTATCTAGTGGTACATAAACATTTTCAAACTGTGTGAAAAAAGCGGATATAAAAAGGTCGATAACCGCTGCTATAGACGGTGTTACTGAGGTTTGGAGGGCGCTTTGATTTATAAAAAAATATCCTACTTAAAATACAAAACTACATTTTAAAAGTTATAAAATCTAAAAAATATTATTCTAAACTATTCAAAAGACTTACCTATTTACTATTTATATGTGGTGTTTAAAATGTTGTCACAAAATATGCATTCAGAATATACGACTGTGTCAAAACCCATACCAATTTTAGTGTAGGTATATAGGTAGTGCAGCTGTAGAATAATCTTAAATATTAAATCTAATCTACTGTTTCAGTTTTATGAGTTCCTATATCTATATAATAATTAAAATAAGATATAAATTAAATTGCTATATTTTATATTATATGTTATAATAATGTAAATTAAATAGGCACTTTAATATTTTTTGCATAGATAATATTCTAATTTATAATTTATTCTCTTACAAGAAATATACTTTTTGTAATATAATAATTTATAGTTGTTTCCCAATGCCCAAACATTTGATACATATTTTATTCTTTCGCTATTGTTCTTGTATAAGTTTGGGCAGGGTACCTTTTTATACAACAAAATGCAAAGAGCATATAATTAGTTTATTTATTATAACCTATATTTAATAGTAAATAATAATTAATAGTTTCTACTATTATCAAAGTAAGAAATCATTTTACATAATTTGTTTCAGAAGGTCAATAGTTTTTATTTTTGTTACAGGTGATCTGCAGTAGAGGTGTAATCATGGTTCATCGCCAGAATAAAGTTGGAACTTTCAAACACAAACTGTTTACATTGGGGCAGCAATGGGTTGATAGATTATTAATAATACTAATATTAGTGGTGTTTTCAAATTCATCAAATAATTGTGATCCCGGCATATATTCACCTGGAAGTAAGGACATGAATCGATTTTAACTTTTAATTTATACTGAATCGTAGTTATAGTAAATTATATGAATAATTTACGTATCGATAATTAACCAATTATATATATTATGTACAAAAAATGAGCATTTAAATATTAATTATAATATTAATTATTCATCCATGAACTCATTGACCTGCAATATAAAACATATCAATCATAGATTGAACCAAACAATAATTGTATATAAAAAGCTATTTTAAATACCAATCAAAAATATTATAATAAATTATCAAACTTTTGAATCAGAAAATTATTTAAGCTAAAGTATGGCATCCAACCAATTACTTTTGATATAATTCTGTTCAACGATTCCTCATATTATACAAGAAAAACGTCGAGCAAGAACATTTTTATCTAGTTCAGAAATTAGTGTTATTTGTACATTGGTTTCTAAAAATTAATTAATTATTTTTACATTATTAAAATAAATGTATGGCGTATGTTTGGATAAAAACAACCACTTTGTTGAACCATCCAAATCGTCTAGTAATTCAATCAATAACGGTCTACAAAAAAACATTGTTAACACTGTTGAATCGCATCCAAGTGATTCATATGTGTTTCAAACACATGATGATACAATGATGATCAATGTTTTTGACACTTTTTGTTGTATGTAAGTTAACTGCAATCTTATAAATTATAAACATACATAATATTATTATTATTTTTTTTTTACGTAACCTCTTTTTCAAACCCTTTTAAGCGATATTCGTCTTGGACAGGGCTTAGTTGTGATTATATTACTCGATTAGGACCATTATAAAAATCGTTTATTCGTCAAATTTTGAAATATTTTAAAAATAAAATAAAAAGTAAGGAATCAAAAAAAAAAGGTGGGAAAGTGTGTCGAGTGGGTCACTGAAATGGATGAGTTCAATTTGAGTTCAATGATAAATCATTGTACACAAAAAATATTCTGAGAAAAGATGATTTGTTTTCCTATATTACATACTATATTATTATTATGATACTATTGGTATTAAAATAATTGATTTTGCTATTACAGTTGGTTGAATTAATTTTGGCTATATTTCAAAATGGCATTATGTTTATAAAATATAAAAATAAACTTTAAAAGTTTCAAGCACCCACGAATAATATTTTTAAATTACAACATTACTAAAATCGTTGTTTTTGATCTAAACAGGTGTCTAATGTCGTTCAAATTTTAACTTGTCCATAAAGAATCTGGTTACAGTATGAACTATTTTTTTTACGTTTTTAACTTAACTAGTTATTTTGGATTTTAATTAACTTACTAAATATCTTTTTTAATTAACTCGAAATTAACGAATTAATTATTCATTTTAAGAACTAAGTTAATTTATTTTGTTCTTAATTTTATTACATTTTACTATTTCAGTCTATTTCGTTTTCATGTCAAAACATATTTACTGTGAATTGTTTAAAGTTAAAAATTTTATATTTTCCAATTTAACCTATTCGATAGGTCTAACTATTGTTCTTTTTTTAGAAACGCAAAACTTCAATGAAATACATACTATATGGAAATACTGTGTATAAAGTAACACTAGTCTGTAATTTAGTTTTGGGTTGGAAAGAAATAAAGTACGCTAGCGTTAAATTTAATTTATTTTTTAATTAGGCAATGAAAAGTTAGAAAAAGTGTGTATTAACTTTTAACTTTTACCTTTTTGTTATTGATGCATAGGTATTAACTTAACTTAACTGTGTTAAAAAAAAAATCATTAACTTACCCACCCTTGAATATTATATTGTGTATTAAGTATTTAGTTGTATTAGTATTTATAAATAATTGGTCTTTATATTTTATAGATAAGCCATTCAACATTAAAAATTCCTAACATAATAGTATGTTGTTACAATTTGTACATAATAGTATGATTAGACAAATTAAGTAGTATTTTTTATTGTATGATTACATTTTTAAACAACTGATGTATTTATAGTTCCTAAAAGACCACCACGAACTGACATTGGGAGCTTTGAATATGTCATTTCGCCATCAGACAAATCCGAAAGGAACATTGTGACTTATTGGCAATCTATCGAAGACTACGATCAATGTGGTGAATCGTTTGAATATATTGCTTACTATATTCATACCTCAGCAGATAAACAAATCACGTAAGTACCATTCTGGATGTTTCATGTCGATGATTTTAAGGGGTTATGTATAGTCAATTTTATCTACAATAAAACATTAGACATAGACATTTAAACATAGAAAATTCATTAAAACCATAAGAATAATTATCACTGTTTCTATTTAGAGCTAAATTATTAATATAAATATCAATATCAAAAAAGTATATATAAAGCAAAATATGTACAATTGTATATTATAATAATATAACAAAGGTACTAGATTTTAATTGTTAATTATATTTAGTTAAAAATCTCATTTGTTTTTGTTATGGATCCATCAACTTTTAAAGTCTTATATTTGTTCACCTACGGTATTATACAAAATGTTTTTACTTCTTAGTAAAAATTCTAATAAAATATGCTTTTCAGCTTTCCCTGATATATTTTATTTTAACTATTGACTAATATAATAATATAATTTGAATTAATCACTAATTTTAAATCGTTCTAAATTACTGATACCTATTTATTTATCCATTCAGCACTTACCGTAGCGACGTAACAGGAAAAAATTACGCCAAGTTTAATTTTCTGAGTACCAGCATCGGAAATGAATTCATAATCATCTCATACGATAAAGAAGGTGCATCCATAGAATATTCAATAGTTTACGTACCTAGCAAATCAGACAGTGAGTCATAATATGATAAATATCAGTAATATGTAAACTATTTATTTTAAATCAATTAATTGCATGTTTAGTACATGTTATATACCCATTTATTCTGTCAACTTATTACTGTTTATAGAACTCCATAAACCAAAACATTTCAAGAAAAATGTACTTGACAAACAAGGTATTTTTGAACTATCCCGGGAAAGTGCCGATTCTAAGGAATTATCTACTGGAAATCAACTAGATTATTATACTTTGTATTGGTGCGAAGTAGAAATATTCGATCACTTCTTTCCTCCGCTGTACTGTAATGTATGTGAATTAGCGTATTATAATATATGAAATACAATGTTACATAATAGAATTTATTTTAGTAGTGATATCGTTTTTATTTCGATGATATCGTATCGAAATATCGAAGGTTCTATTTTCTATACTTAGGCAGCTAGTTCAATATTGAAATCAACATAAAGTAAATTAGGAAAAGTCACTCTGATGTACAGTAGGTTACAAGGGGGTCACTGTATGATGGATTGTATTAAATTGGAATTCAATGATATAATATCATTGTATAAGAAAAACGATTCTAAGCGGAGACGGTATGTCAGTCTAGGTATAAGACATATTATATACTTATCTATGGACTATGGTATTAAAAAAAAATGACCTATAATAACCTATTATAATATAGGTTAGGTTAGGTACCTATAATAAATTCCAAATTAATCATATCACAATATCCGTCAGGTACTTATAACGCTTTATACATCAACAACAAACAGTGATACTATAATAGATATACAATAGTAAACTTTAGAAGTTTCAAGTACCCACGAATAATTATACAATCACAACAAAATAACTAAAATTTTATTCTAGGTTTTTAATATGTAATTTCGTCCAAATTTGAACTTAAAATTACTATAAAAATAAACTTAGCTTATGTATTTTTTAAATTTTTTGGTAACAGAATAAACTACTTACGTGGAATCTTCTTTTAAATTTTAAATCCTTAGATATAAAAGTTGAACATTTTATACATTTTTAACTACAAAATAATTATTCAATTTTAAATATGATAAGTGTGCATATGCATTTTTAATATTTTTCAACTGTTATTGTAACAATATGTCAAGATTCTTTTATTAAATTTTTACACTTTTTGTCCAACAGATAAAACATTATTGATACTAATTGAAAAAAAAAAATAAAAAAATTGAAATATGAAATTGTCCGTAAACAGCTCAAAACGAGTAGAAATATTTTTAAAATTTTATCAAGTATAAAAATTGATAAAATAAACATTCAGTGAAATGTTTATGTATCTATTTTTTGTGTCTCTATTCGTTTTTAAATTACAACAAAATAAGAAAATCTCTACATGAGAAATCGAGTAAATATCCAATGTTGTAAGAATTTGAATTTCAAACTCTTAAAAATTTAATTTGACTTTCTTTTAGTACTTTTACTCAACAAATAAAGTTTTATTGACATTCATAGAAAAAAAAACCAATATAATTGGAAACTGAAAATGTCCCTAAACAGTTCAAAACAAATCAAAATATTTTGAAAATTTTATCATATATAGAAAATGTATATAAACAACCAGTGAAAATGTTATGTTACACCAAAAACCAAATTCGATTTTGTATAAAAATTCCCGTTTTTCCTTAATTTTTCTTTTGTTTTTCTAAGCGCTTTTGAAAATTACTGTGAATTTTAAATTTTGACCTCCCCAGTGCACCAACAATATTCACTTTACCATTGAACAAGATACTGAATTTGAAAATCGAAGCATTATTTCGACTACTTATCGTGTACACAGACAAAAAAAATAAAAAATAAATAAAAAAAAAATTAATAAAAATATAAAAACACACACTATTGTAAAATCAATACATTCATCGTTCCACTCAGATTAAATTCACGCAAATTCACACAAATTAAAAATTAAATATTGCAGTTTATTTTACTATACAATATCCTAAGCGTGGGTAATAAATAATAATAAATTAATTCTATACTCATTAGTTTTTATTTATAAAAGTACCTACGGCAGGGACTAAAATTGTGTGTAGTACGACACACTTTGTGTAGTACGAAATACTAAGAGTGGAATACGAAATTAAAAAGTGTGTAATGGCCTGTAATAACTACTATACTAGCTTTTTTTTACAATTTTTTCTTCATTAAGTGAAAAATTATTTGATGTTTTGTTGGGAAATAGATAGATAAGAATTTTAAATATTAATAATAATTATTACGTATTATTAGGAGTCGATTTTACAAGTTTTACTTATAGATACAATATTTAAAATATTACAAAATAAAAATATTTTGAATAATCAATACAAATTACAAATAATTATCAAACAATAGTTACTGAATGTATTTACCTATATTTTTTTAAAAGAATCATTAACATATTTACCTATGTTGTTTCAAATCAAAAACAAAATAATGTTATTGTTAATGTTTGAACACTATTTATTATACAATCATTTTTTTAATGATATAGATATTCGTAAACCTTGTGTTTATTTATAATTAAATATTAACAATGTGGTAATTACATTAATTAGCTTTTAAAAACCATTTAATCAATCAATTTCATGTGATTATGTGAGTACCTAATATTGAAGTCTGGGATGTTTTTTCCTAGAATCGGGGATTTTTATTTCGCAATTCACTGTCTATAATAGGTATTGTATTTAGTATTATTTAATAAGTTCTGTGCATTTATTGCAATATTATGTATAATACCGAATTAATTATCGTGCCAATATACGGACATAAATCGTTAACTTGCGATGTAGTCTATACTCTGTAGATAAAGATAAATAGAAATTGATTATTCTATGTTTATTGTTTATGTGTATAGATTCAATACACTTTTTTCGGTGGGGTGGCAAAGCCCCTCGCGGTAAATAAAAGTTTAATATAAAATGTGTAGTACGAAAAAAATGATATTTTAGCCTCTGACCTACGGTATCATAATAGTAATAATAGTATCATAATTATTATGATAAAAATATTTAATAATTATTAACATAAAAAAAAAGGTGGGTAAGTGGATGTCGCTCTGCTGTACAGTAGGTTACAAGTGGATCACTGTGTAATGGATGCTATTAAATTTGAATTCAATGATATAATATCATTGTATAAGAAAAACGATTCTGAGCGAAGACGGTATGTCAGTCTAGGTTTAAGATAAATTATATACAAATCTATGGTATTAAAAAAAAATTGACCTATAATAAATTCTAAATTAATCATATCACATTATCACAATATCCATTAGGTACTTATAACACGTTATACACCAACAACAAACCCTGCTACTATCATATATATATAATAGTACACTTTAGAAGTTTCAAGTAGGTACCCACGAATAATATTATATAATCACAACAAAATAACTAGGTTTTTTAATATGAAATTTCGTCCAAATTTGAACATAAAATGACTATAAAAATAAACTGTGATTGTATATTTTTTAGATTTTTCGGTAAGATAATTAACTACTTACGTGGAATCTTGTTTTAAATTTTCAATCCTTAGCTATAAAAACTGAACATTTTATAATTTATTAATTACAATGATTGATAATTTTCGAGATTTTGATAAATTTTGTCAAAATTTGATCTTTAAATGCTTATAAAAAAAAACTGTGCCTATGTATTTTTAATATTTTTCAACTGCTATTGTAACAATATATCAGGAGCCTTGTATTACATTTTTACACTTTTTGGCCCAACAGATAAAACTTTATTGATATTTATAGAAAAAAAAACTAAAAAAAATTGAAAGCTGTAAATGTCCATAAACAGCTCAAATAGAGTCAAAATATTTTCAAAATTGTATGGTGTATAGAAAATGCTAATTTAAACATCCAGTGAAATTTTATAAACAAAAATAAAATAAGGAAATCGCTACATGAGTAATCGAGTGAAAATTAAATGTTGTAAAAATTTGAATTTCAAACGCTCATAAAAATTTAATTTGACTGTCCGGTAGAGATTTTTTTATTGATAAAGGTAGATAATTTTATAAGGAATCTTATAAAATGTTATCAAAAATTTTTACGAATTCTTAACTCAAAATAATTTGCCAATTTTCATGATTTTTCCATATTTTGTCAATTTTTGAACTTTAAATGCTTATAAAAAAAAATTGTTACTAAGGATTTTTAATATTTTTCATCTGCCTTTGAAACAACATATTAGGAGCCTTCTATTAAATTTTCAAGCTTTCGCAACCAACAAATAAAATTTTATTGATATTTCTAGAAAAAAAACTAAAAAAAAATGAAAAATGAAAATGTCCCTAAACAGTTCAAAATAAATCAAAATATTTTGAAAATGTTATCGTGTATAGAAAATGCAAATATAAACAGCCAGTGAAAATTTCATGTATCTACGGTCATTTGTTTTAAAGTTACACCAAAAACCAAATTTGATTTTTTGGAATATCGATTTTGCGTAAAAATTCCCGTTTTTCCTTAATTTTTGTTGTTTTTCCCGGCGCTTGTGAAAACTACTGGAAAATGTTTACTTTTGACCCCCCAAAGTACCAACTAGATTCACTTTCCTATCAGAAAAGGTACTATTGAAGAAAATCGAAGCACTTTTACTGTCCCAAAACGTGATGACAGACACAAAAATATAAAAATATAAAAACACACATCATTGTAAAACCAATACATTCATCGCTCCGCTCAGAATCTAAAACAAAAATAATTAATTAATATTAGATGGTTTCTTTTGCATTGTCTAGTTTTATACTAAATAAAAGAAAAAAATTAATTATATTATGATCATACATACAACTGCAATGAAACGTGGAAATGCCAAGATTTTCTGGTATTACTAACTTTTTATTGAAACAGTTTTGTATAACATTTTATGCAATTTATGTGTTTTATACAATATATTCTTTATACACTCAAAAGTATTTATATTTTATTGCGAAGAATTTACAGATATAATAATTAGGGATTACAGTATTTAGAGGGGATTATTTTGATAGGCTAAGGCGACTCACGGTTCTTTCGTGTTTGAGTGTAGTTAATAAATTGACCGATTGACGAAGACCAAATAATGTGAAATGTTAATATTAATTATAAAATAAAAATATAGTAAATATTAACGAACATTAATTATTATTAATACCCATCGTTCTTGAAATAATGTCTGACTTTCAATTTTTTTTCGTTACAGGGTCATATGGACTGGATTCATGTACCAATTTCAATTTATCGCTACAATATTATCTTGGTCGATAAGATGAAAATATATATTTGGGCAATAAGCGTTAACAGAGCAAATGGTATCGATAACCTTAAACCTAGCATGGTCTGGCAACCACCGCAAGGGGAATTTCTTAACGCAGACGCAATTTTTCAATTATAAGACAATAATAGTATTATAATAACGTTTAATTCACTATATATTATCTTAATATTTTTTCAAAAGTATTTTTTACACGGCTGATTAAGACCACGTAAAGTGGATCTTTTATTGTGATTTTTGATGTAACTGTATCTAGTACCTAGGACCTAGGTATCAATAAAGTTAATGTTTAAATGTACCTAAATGTGAATATCTAAATATTATGATATTATTAATTTTAATGTATGGTGTATACAATATTTCATAGCTACAGATCATATCGGTTGTAAACTTGTATTGAAAGGTGTTTATTGCATAATATATGATTTTAAAAAAATGTTGAGGGGGGGGGGGGTAATTGGTGAAATGTACATACATTTCATTCACCCCCTCTCACAACCATGACCAAATTACGCCACTGAAATAGAGCCACAATTATCGGATTTTTTTTATCTCTATTTGCAATATTGTTATACGGGGTGTCCCGTGAGGATATACTCATTAGCAGTACAGCAAGGGACCAGACAAAAACCTGTTTATTCCTGTTTTACCTATATTGATTATTAAATTACTAAAAAAATTGTTAAAAACCATGAGATTAATGAAAAAAAAAAGGTTGAAAAGTCAAAATTTTCACAAAAATAAACTCTATAAAATGGCTATCTTAACTTGTTTCAAAAACAAAAAAATAATTTTTTTAACTTATTTACCAACAAGATTCTTAACACCAATGACAACATTCAACAATACTTCATACTATAATACGAGACTTGTATAGTAGTTGTATAAATATTGAAAATGGTGTCCAGTCATTTATACTCATTTAGAAAATTCGGTACAGCCTTGTAATTTTTCCTACCCAGTGGCTCCGAGCCACTCTAGCAAGTAGCAGGTGTTGATAAGACAATAGCTGTAATAGGGTGGTAGAGTCCTATAGCCTTTGTAGGACTTCTACTAATGATATTTTCTGGGTGAATCTGAGTGATATTAAATATATATAAATTAAACACAAATTTTGTTTGGTGTGTGGGATGCCTTACGTTAAATGGGTATACCTATTTGAAAAAACAATTTTTTTTTTTTAGAGATCGGTGCCTCTGTAATCATATACCTAACTAAATCTTAATATCTTCCTATATAGGTACGTTTCTGATTATCTGTGTAATATAAACAATAAATATTATATAGAATTATAATATGTGTACGACGCGCTACCTACGAGAATATAATATGATTGCTGTTATGATAGTTTAATAAATTCCGATGGTTTCAAAAAGTATATTCGTTGTTGGTATAGTATACACTAACGAATAATATTATAACTCTGTCGAGATCATTATGTTTTCATTAAAATAGTAGTTTTACGACCAGCGTATTATCGGTGAAAGGATCCCGGAATCCGGCGGCGACTTCTCGGAATTTATCGATGGGGAGGGTTTGAAAGAAAAAAAACCTTGAACGCCGGTGAATATCTACCTAATAAAATATACAAAGAAGTACCAATACAACATAATAATATGGTCAAATACTCAAATACGTCTATAGGTACTGGAGTTAACGACCACCTGCCGATTGAACGACGCCGTGAACCACCCGACATTCCGATCTCTATAGGGATGAGGGTGCAGTCTGGGTATAATAATATATAGTAATAATCCGATGCGATCCGTAAACAGCAAACAGATAATGTTATTCGTGTACCTATGCTGCACGGCTGCCAAGTGTATAGAGAACGATTGACCGTGTGCGACTACTCAATTTTCATCGTCCATAACGACCGGGTTATTCGAAATCTGATTTTTGGAGTTATTAAATAAACTTCGGTATAGAGTATAGACAATGGACCATGCGAGGGTTCGAAAAGAGAATAACTTATTTAATAGGAGTAAAACATCAAAACATAAATAATTATGTAAATTTATCAGCATTATACCTAAATATGGTCTAAATGTATTACATTTTTATTTAGTTTACTTTAGTTCTCCTCGTATTAATATACAATATAATATCATATTTGTCGATGCGAATATAAAATTCCAGAATTCGCTTTCCGTGACCGTCCAACCGAATATTTATTTTGGTTCTCATCATTGCGAAACCAATGTCGTTTCAAACATCGAATCTTTCAACAATAATAAATAATAATTGTTCATAAATCATATTGTATGCAATCTATTCTGTCATATTATATGAGTGGACATCCACTTCGTGAAAAGTATCCATACCGTGAATAATGCATTTATTTCGAGACATATCATTTGTTTACATCACGAAACAGATTGTACGAAAAAATGTATCTTTGCACAATTTTATGCTTATAACATATACATTTTCATGAAACGGATGGTTTTTTTTTCGAAAGTCGTAAAATTGTGTTCAAAATAATTCGGATTTCAGTGTTAGCGAGCTCTGAGCTCTCCTCAATAGTAAGATACTATTGTATTTAATTTATCACCATCAATATTATTAAAATAATTAATTTTTACATAATATTACATTTTATTCAAATCGCATAGGTAGCTTATATCGTGTAACATAAACGTATTATAAAAATATGTCAATATAGCACGCGATACTTTATACCTTTAATTTCTATTCTAAAATGACTGCGCTAATAGTTATAGGTATAATATATATATAATATATATATAATATATATTTATATCAACACGATTTGTCATGGAATGATTTTCTTATTTTGTTGTAATTCAAAAACGTATAACCGTAGCCCGTAGGTAGTACACATAATATTATTGTCGCCTGCAGGAAGCTAACTGGGTGGTTTTGGGGTAACATGTTGTTCATATATAATATACGTATTTATCGATTTAAGGACCGGTTCGTCTTTTTTTTTGTTACAACAGACACTGCCGGAGACAGCTACAGCTGCACATTCCAACGTGTGTCGCCATTTTATGGCATCAAGAAGATACTTTCGTGATATACGACTGTCCCTTTTAGTAAAACGAATGAGTACGATTTCTCTCCCTATGCGTACGAAAGCGATTGCAACGTTGCCAACATGTACTGCTGAATTTAATTAAATTTAAAATGAGAATACCTAATATAATTTAAAAGAAACTATTGAATTGAAGTAAACTTATTTTGTTTCAATAATTTATTTACTTGGCGAGGAATTATTCCTTAAAAGAAACAAAGTGTGATAAACAAAATAATTAAATGGCGAAGGAATATTAAAATATAACTTATTATTATTTTATTATTATTATTTTTAAATATATTATTATTAATATTTACCTATATACTATTCTAAATAATTCCTCGCCAAGTAAATAAATTATTGAAACAAAATATGTTTACTTAAATTCAATATACTTAGCATTTATTCATAATATCACATCTTTATAGTGCTTAGAGATCTTATAGTTTTTTTTACTTAGCCATTTTTATAATATGTACCTAGTTTACGAACGGATTTTGTTGTGATATCACTAATTTTTATGGTTATTAAATATTGAGTACTTACACATTAATCTATAGGAACGATAATATTGTTGGTAACATTGGCAACGCTGATGAGACGACGACTACCTTGATTCTAAATTGAATATAAATTTCTATTAAAAAGTTCGCACTTTTTCATTTATAACTTAATTTATAAACTTACGGTTTCGATGATTTAAACTTGAATTTAAATGTATTTTACACAGTTTAAATAAGCAACTGGCCTCGATCCAGTGCTGTTTAATAATAACTAATAATTTGACTTGATCTTCATCAGTAAATGTATTTTTTAATTAATCTTAATTATTATTAAGTTTTCACCACGCTATAATTAATTAATTTAACAGTTACAAAAAAAACATATAATTTGAAAACATTGAATATTGATAGTTGTATAATGTTATCACGATGTAATACAGCCAATGAGAGCTCTCAATTTCCTGTGGGAAATTTCCTAGCAATGTATGGTATGCAATGCCGTATGCTTATTATGCGTCCCGACAGTAGGTATATATTTTAAGTATTGAATATTTAGAGCTGACAATATTATTCAACGTGTATAATAATATATAATATTACATAGCACTACAGTGGGCGGCAGTGTATTTTTGTGTGCACTAAATATTATTTACGGTCTACGATGCAATTCGTGAAGTAGGTATGTGTGTATAAACATTTTTGTATAAAAATGAAATATTGTTACTATATAGTTGAGTGAAAACATTTATGAAAATTATACGGTTAATAAATAATTATTTAAGATTTACTTATGTCTGAAAATTAGTAAATAAAATATTTTGAAAAAAAATATTACGTTTCAAATTAATTTACTCCAAAAAAATATTGATATTTTCAAATTTGCAAAAAATGAATTATTTGACATAAATAAATATTGATAATTTTCTCACCACCACCACCACCACCACCACCGTCTACCAACCAATAACCATCGGCCACCGGCGACATCACTCTGCAGCAAGAGCCAGGGGCACACTATTTTAAGCGCTTATAGGTACACTTTACCTCCATTATCATATTATTAAATTGTGTTGTTAACGGTTGTTGGGCTTCGGTGGGTAGGTTTGCGTGTCTCGTGAGATAATTCGATTACCTATATAATATTATTAAGTCGGGAAATTGAATAATTAATAATATTGTTAAATTGCAGTAAGAGACGGTGGTGTATTCACGCACGTGACCTACCCAAATGCCCGTGGGAGGGTTGTTGGTCAAGGGTTGTATCATCCCACCGCCCGTCCACAAAGATTTCGAGTAAAGTTCAGCAGGTTCATTTATAGTAAACAAAAGTAAAGTCATTATCGGTCAGTGGTCAGAGTGGAAACGCCATACAGTAACGATAATCATTCGACATTTATTTTAGTATTATAAACAATCGTAATGGTGAATTGCTTTCAACTTTTTTCGCATCATCTGAAGCAGAATATTTAGACATCCATGATAAATATTGAACCGAAGCATATCGTTATTTTTAAGCTGAGGGGCAACAAGAAATATTACAGAATTATAACTGACAATAGTATGTTACTTTAACAATG